ATGAGAGTTTTTTCTTGTCACAGTCCAGGTAACATCTGACCTTCTTGAGCTTTTTCTTGACTGTGAGGTCCACCGGACGATTTGTCCCAGAGTCGGCTGTGTATACCCCATCACAAAAAGATATTTTCAGTAGTTTGGTCAGGTCGCTCACCTTGTTCTGGGCAGACACAGCTAATACCCCCACCGACCACACAGGATTGTCGCCCACTTCAACATCCCAGCTGTGAATCTTTGAGTCAAACCCCTCTGAACCCAGGATGGAAGGATAGGACTGAATCCTTTCTGGGTTTTCTGGAAGATTCTGCTTCTTTTCACGTTTCACACTGGTGAGATCTTCAGATACGATGAGGTCTGTGTGAGCAGTGTTTGGGTCTAGAACCACGGGTGAGTAGCTGACAATCTGCTTCATGTTTTTCCAGATGTTGAAGTCCAGGTTTCCCAAGTGCGTGGGTAAATTCATCAGAGCTCCTGGGATCAGTTTTGGATCATCCAGCAGGAGACTCTGTTGAGCTCTTTCCACTACAGTCGTGTAGTTCTGCAAAAACACGACATCTGGAGCCCTGAGCTCTTTCTCTGTAGCTTGGACTGTTTTTGAAAGTGTTTTTATGTCTTTTCCAAGACAGCTGATTTTCTCCTTCATCATTTGAGTCCTCTGCTCCTCTTCCCTCTTCAGAGCTACGATCCTGGCGTCTTCTTCCTCTTGTAAAAACTTGCGAAGCTTCTTAAAGCACTCCCTAATCTGTTTTTCTGCATGCTGAGACTGAGCGTGGATTTGTTTGTCGGTTTTATTGTAATTTCCGTTAATTTGTTCAAAGAATCTCAGCTTGTCCCGCAGGAGGCTGAGGATACCCGTGAGCTCTTCTCTGTGATCCTGAGCAGCCTCGTTTACCGGGGTAAATCTGTGGTTATTGTGCACTTTCGAGTCCCTGCAGATAGTGCACACAGGCTGCTCGTGATCATGGCAGAAGAGTTTTAATTTCTCATCGTGCAGATTACAGACAGGTTCCACCTCTGCTGAAGACATTTCTTTTTCTCTAAGTGAGAAGTGAGACGAACAGAAAAGGGGTTAGATAGTTGAGTTTGCATTTTCTCTACCCTCTCATCCACTCATGCATCGTCTATACTCACGGTATTTACGGTCCTTCTTGTTTTTTCTTTATATTTCTTTGCAGCTCTTCTCTCGTTTCAGGTTCAGATCCTTTGTTTGACATTAACAGTCTTGCTCAGCGTTGGCTTGTCTTCTAAGTGAAAGTATTTTACTGTTTTCAGGCAAGTCCAGTCAGGACCTGGGTGGGGTTATGTCCTGTTGAACTAGTTTTGTAATGTTGCACAGAACAAAAGGTTTGGGTTGTAGAACTACTTGAGCGATCTTATCATTGTCATACACTATTTGTACAGAGCGCAGCCCGGATCTTTGTTATGACCCCCAAGGTAAATCATTGTTCAACTTTGACTTAATATACACAAAACAGGATGAATATTATGACGATATATGAAAACTTTTCTCAAAGATGATACAGTAAATGCCCAAGAACATTCACTTACCCATTAAAATAGTTACATTCAGGTGTCATGGTCTTGGCACTGATGGTTGGCTTTTTCATTTGCTCCTGCTCACCTGTCTAATTCGCCCGGCGGCTGATTAACGGCAATTGTTTCCACCTGGTTCCCCAGCTATTTATGTTGTTTGCCTGCTTTCCATCAGCACCAAAGCTGTTGAAAGAGTAACTCTAGCGATCAAGTGCATCTGTTATGTTGTTCTGACCCTGACCTGTTTTCTGCTTTGAATATTCGAGTTTTTGCCTTGCCTCTGTCTGTTTTGGCTTTTTCCTGTTTTTCCTGGTTACCGATCCTGGACTGTGTCACTGACCTCGGCTTGGATTCCCCTCACGGACACTGTTGCTCCATCAGCGTCGGCTGGCGCAGCTCATCTTCGCTTTGGGTTCTAGAAGCAGCCATGACTGCAAACGGTGGACTGAACTTTCATTCAGGTCATAGACTTTTGCTCCAAGTCATGATCAGCCCGACATTCCTGTCACTGACCTGTGTCTCCTATCTCTGCAGAGTATCCGCCCCGATTACGCCCAATCGCTGCAATCTTTTAGTTTAAAAATAAATTGTCCTAGTCTGTCTGTCAGAATATTGAGTCCTAGTTTCTAAGGTCAGGTGCTTTTGTCACTCTTGGGGGCCTCAAGTGTATAAACTTATCCTGGCAGATGACTTCTAAAAATACTTATACTAAGTGAAAGAAAATGGCTTATTGAATCCAAGCATAGTATATCGGTATTGTCCCGAGAAAGCAACATTTCTTTTTACTAAATGTTTCAAATGCACTTATAATGGTATTATAATAAAGGCCCTTTTTTTCTTTCCACTTTGTTGAAAAGTATTTAGGGAGTAAAATATTATAAAACAGACACAGAGATGGGAATGGAGGAGAGGAAGAAAGAGGGATTCAGAGATAAGGACAGGAAATGGTGCATGAAAATAGAGAAAACAAAGGAAAACAGCAAAGAGTGACAACACAGAAATTATACAGTAACTCCTACAACTCTGCTTCCACACCTTTATGAGATGAGAGGGACACTTAAAAACAGCAAAAAAAGACAACAGATCTCAAGAGCAGCGGGTATCCCTTAGATATCCATGTGTGTGGGAGGGAAAACTTATGACGATTACACAATATTATTCAGGTTGGTATTTATCTGTAGCTGTAACTTAGTAATTAGTATTAGAGTGTATCCCTGAACACCTGGAACCAATCTCCTCTGGTATGTATGCATGGGCATGTTCGTGTATAAAGGATATACAAAGGTTCTTCAGAATTAATGTATGCTCAAAAGTAGGTGTGGGTGGCCCCAGACTCACCCCACAAGTCTAAGGACCGATAAAGGGGGGGGACGGCATCTGAGATTACTCGGACACGAGAAGGGCAGACACTGGGATAGCCACTCCCACCAGAGAAGGGCAGACGAAAGCAACCGTTGACCTCCCAGTGGTGCCTGGTCTCTGAACGACAAGTACCCAACTCTGCACTTAGAGAACCATCAGCATAACAGCAGACACAGGCACCTGTCATTGGCAGGAGGAAGGGTCAGACAGGCCCTGCTCATACTTGGGGCTAGGGCTAGGATGGGGCTAGGATGTTCATTCGGTGGGGGTGGGAGGAAAACACCCAACAAGTAGACAAAGAAAATTCACTTTCATCCATTCACATTCATACAATCTTAATGGAGACACATGGGCAGACACTAAACATATTCTTACACTGCTAATAAATACACTATCCTCCTGGATCTGTGGCCCACAGACCTGACCCCATCCACCCCCCCCCCCCCCCCCCACTTCGCTGACCGGCAAGCACTACAGTTCAACTCAGTTTATTTCTATGCCGCCAATTCACAACACAGATCATCCATGCAGATTCATTCAAAGTTTTCTATTCAACCAGGTTCATTGCATCGACTCCTTGACTCTTCAGCAATCCCTCACACTAAGCATGCTTGTAGCGACAGTGGAGAGGAAAAACTCCCTTTTAACAGGAAGAAACCTCCAGCAGAACCAGCCTCAGTGTGAGCGGTCACCAGCCGAGGCCAACTGAGGTTCAAGGAGACAGAAGCAGAGCTACAAAAGGCAACAGTAAAAGGCAGCCACAAACCCAAGACCACACAGCCAGGCAGACGAGCTCCGAGGCAGCTACCATGTCAGAGGATGAAAGAGAGAACCTCCACAGCTGATATTTCTCTCCAGGATGGAGTCGCAGTAAAACAGCAACAAACCAGATGAAGCTACTATGAGAAAAAGCAGAGAGAGAAGAACGTTAGAGATTGAACTAACAGATTCTGCAGAGTGGGAGAATAGAGATAGAATGAAGCAGAAAAAGGGGTCCCTATGTCCTCCAGCAGTCTAAGCCTATAGCAGCACACTGCAAAAAATATAAATCTCAATAAGTTATTTTTTCTTAAAATAAGTGTGTTTTTTCTTGATTTGAGGAGGTAAGTAAGACACTTTGCCAATGGAACAAGACAATTTCCTTTTAAAATAAGAAAAAACTATTTTATCGTCTTATTTCAAGTAAATATTATCTAACTATCTTATTTTAAGAGTGAAAATACTCATTCCATTGGCAAATCATCTTATTTACCTGCTCAAATTAAGGCTAAATATACTTAATTTAAGCCATTTTTTACTTATTTCTGGATTGTTTTTGCAGTGCATAACTACAGAGGTAGCTCAGGATAACCTGAACCACGTGGTTCAAGTTTGATCAAAAAGGAAAGTTTTAAGCCTACACTTAGATAGTAGACAGGGTTTCTGCCTCACAGACTAAAACTGGTAGTTGGTTCCACAGGAGAGGAGCCTGAGAACTAAAAGATCTGCCTCCCATTCTACTTTTAGAAATTCTAGGAACCACTAGTAAACCTGCAGATTGAGAGCGAAGTGCTCTGTTAGGAACATAAGGAACATTTGGATCTTTTATATGAAAAGGAGGATTTTATATTCTATTCTGGATTTAACAGAGAGCCATTTAAGGTAAGCTAACATAGCAGAAATGTCATTATTACTTATTGCTCCTTTAAGAACACTTCACAAAAAACATTCCAAAATCCCACATTTCTATTTGGGGAACCCCATTAAAATATAACCTGATCTGATTGAAATACAGATAAACACCGCATAAAGGGTGAACATGTAATAAAACTGTAAATATTACAGTAAAACAATAAAATTTAATCTGACATCATGATCTTAACTTTAAAGGTTTTATTGGAACAGGCCACTTATAATAATGTGAAATGTTTTTATTGAATTCTTTAATTTGAAGTGATAATTTTCATTATTTTATCATTTTAAAGTTTTTAACTGAACAATGCAATATGTAAAGATAAAAAAAATGTATGGATTGAATTGGGGCTTCTGTTATTGAAGTATAGGAAAATTATCAGGAGCTTCGGTTTTGTTCAAAATAAATTGTTTGTAAAAGGATAATACCTTCACACCACATGGCTGAGACAACAGAGGTGTCTAATTAAACCTCTGGAGATGGATACATGATGTTCAAGTCTAGTTCAAGTTATGCAAAGGCCATCAAGCCGTGTTCAGACTTTCCATTTCGACACAGAAAGCTTCATCGGTAAAATTTTCATTTTTTCTGCAGGATTAAAAATAGGCAACAACTTTTCAGTGAAGGTGTTCGTAAAGATGTGTATGTAACTGTTTGTATCCAAATCAGAGAAATACAGCTTTCCTCTTTTCCAGTCCAAATTAACTCTGACCCTCCTTAGGTCTCCCTGGATGTTGAGGTAAGTGGACGAACCCATCGGTGACCACGATGTGTATTTTCCTTTGCAGAGATGAATTGCCCACAATCCAGAGGTCACGTTTCCCTTCCTCTGGACAGACTCAGCCATTACACCGAGGCCCCAGTAGGAGCTGTCTCCAACCTCCACATCCCAGCTTTGGGTCCCAGAGTCAAAACCTTCAGAGCTCAACACAGAGTTATAAAAATCAAACCTCTCTGGGTTGTCGGGAAGCTCCATTTTGTCCTCTCGTCTCACGCTGACCAGATCTTCTGACAGGATGAGGGCAGGGTGAGCCGTGTTTGGGTCCAAAACAACTGGAGAGTATGAGATCACGTCCTTCATGTTGCTCCAGACGTTGAAGGCCAGGTTGCCCAGGTGTTTGGCCTGATCTATCAGAGCTCCTGAGGGGAGTTGTGGATCCTCCAGCAGGGGGCAGTGCTGGACCCTTTGCATTGCTGTTCTGTACTTGTGCAGGAATGTGATATCCTCAGCTTCCAGTTCCTCCTCTGTGATTTTGACCGTTTCTGAGAGAGCTTCTATCTCAATGCTGAGAGCTGTCAGCATTTGCTCCATAGCACAGCTCTTCTGCTTCTCTTCCTCCATCAGTTCAGTCAACCTCGCCTCTTCTTCGTCAGCTAGAAACTGGTAGAGTTTCTCAAACCTCTCTACAATCTGTCTCCTGGTCTGCATGACCTGGACTTTGATATGTTCTGCTGCCACCTCAAACTTCTCCTTGTCCGTCTTCCGCAGCTCCAGTTTGTCCTTCAGAGGCATCAGCAGAGTCAACAGTTTCTCCCTGTGATCCTGTGCAGCTTCGTTTATAGGATGGAAACTGTGCCTGAAATGTTGTTTGGAATCCCTGCAGACGACACACACAGGCTGCTGGTGGTCCAGGCAGAACAGCTTGAATGTCTCATTGTGAAGAGTGCACAGAGTGGCGGAGGTTGTCTGATCACTCTCTGGTAAGAAGCTCTCATTCTGGCTCTTCAAAGACATTTCTTCAGGCTGAGAACAACGCAGTACGGTCAGACATGAGTCCACCTTCTTCCTCCGTTAAACTCACCCAAACCAGTTTTAGTGATATTGTCCAAACTCACCTTCAGATTGCGGCGGGAAAGCCTTTAAAGATCTGTCTGTCCACCTGGACTCAGAATTCAGAAAATTAAACTGTTTCCTGGTTTGTTTCAGGTTAAGCTGTTGAGCTCTGTCAGGTGACGTGTCATAAAACGGCTAAATCAGGTCTTGAAGGACACTTCCCTGCAGAGTTCAAAGTTCATGGACTACAAGCTCTGACAGCTTCTGATAATCCGGTTTTATACTTTTATTGGTGTCAATCAGATCATAACAACCTTGTCAGGGAGTGTAAAATGTAATTTACACTAACACAGTCTAGTGTTCAAGTCAGGAAGAGTAAAATGCATCTAATCGTTCGAAAGATTCCCTGTTTGTACATCTTTCCCTCCTCTCGCCTTGTTCTTCTCCTATCTTTTTTACATCTTGCAGTCTTTAAATTCTTCTGGATCGCAGGGAGTTCCAGAGGGACTATAACAGGAGACCTTTGGACCCCCCAACACTCGACCCGTTCCAGTTTGCCTACCGGCGAAACCGCTCCACTGAGGACGCCATCTCCTCTGCTCTTCACCTGAGCCTGGCCCACCTGGAGGAGAAGAACACCCACGTGCGGATGCTGTTCCTGGACTTCAGTTCAGCGTTTAACACCATCATCCCACAGCACCTGGTGGGAAAGCTGGAACATCTGGGCTTCAACACACCCCTTCGAAACTGGCTGCTGGACTTCCTCACCAACAGACCTCAGTCAGTCCGGGTCGGTCAGAACACCTCTGATGTCATCACCCTCAGCACGGGCTCCCCTCAGGGCTGCGTCCTGAGCCCCCTGCTGTTCACCCTGATGACATATGACTGCGTCCCCAGGTTCACCACCAATCACATCGTGAAGTTTGCGGACGACACCACGGTGGTGGGCCTCATCAGGGACGACAACGACCGGGACTACAGAGAGGAGGTGGAGCAGCTGGTGGACTGGTGCAGTGAAAACAGTCTGATCCTGAACGTGGAGAAGACGAAGGAGATCATCGTCGACTTCAGGAAAAACCGCCCCCACCATGCTCCACTGCTCATCAACAGCTCAGCTGTGGAGGTGGTCAGCAGCACAAAGTTCCTGGGGGTGCACATCACGGACAACCTCACCTGGACTGTAAACACTTCATCTCTAGTGAAGAGGGCACAGAAGCGCTTGTACTTTCTGCGGAGGATGAGGAGAGCCCGCCTGCCCCCGCCCATCCTCACAACCTTCTACAGAAGCACCATAGAGAGCGTTCTGACCAGCTGTCTCTCTCTGTGGTGTGGAGGCTGCAGAGCTTCTGACTGGAAGAATGTGAGGAGGGTGGTGAGGACAGCGGAAGGAATCATTGGGGCTCCTCTTCCCTCCATTAAGGACATTTCATCACAGCGCTGTGTGTCCCGAGCCCGTAATATCATCAAAGACCCCTCACACCCCCACCATGGACTGTTCTCCCTGCTGCCCTCTGGAAAGAGGTTCCGCAGCATCCGCTGCAGATCCACCAGGTTGTGCAACAGCTTCTTCCCCACTGCCATCAGACTGTTGAACCTTTGATCCACAATCCGAACTCTGCACCTATTGCACATTATCGGGCATCAAATGCTGCTGAACTTTTAACTTTTAGCCCTTTAAATTGTTCATCTCATTGTATTTTTCAATAACGCATTTTTTGCACAAATGCCATTTTGCACTGAACCACTGCAACTTGCACACTGTCTCTTATCCTCTGCACTGTTCACACTTTGACCACTGCTGCACTTTTTGTATTTTTCTATAACTCGTGCCATTGTGAAATATCAATGCAACGCTCATAAGCTGTATGTAACGCAATTTCGTTCTGTATGCACCCTGTGCATACAAAATGACAAATAAAGAAGTCTAAGTCTAAGTCTAAGTCTAAGTCTATGGATGCCTGCATTTCCATTATAAAACGAAGATCTAAGCGGCAGTACAGATCTGACAGATTTACAGTTCTTTGGATTGTAGAAGTGGATCTTTTCCAGCAGTACCTGATACTGTATAAGAAAGAACACAAACACATTTAGTGTCTGATTTGACAGAGAATTGGATTGTATGAAGTCGTGGCACTTAAATCTCATTGGAATCAACTGGGCTGTTTGGACTGCACACAGTTCTCTGCAATCGTGTCTGTGTAGCTCCAACCGAGGTAGACACCTGGTCTGTGTATGCAGCAACTTTGCAGTAATTTTATGAGTCTAACAGGAAGAGAGACACTGTGGCAAAGTAAAACACACCCGCATTGGGAAAAATACATTGACTAATCTTTGAATAGCAGTTAATTCAATTCAATTCAGTTTATTTATATATCATGTGTGGTCAATTCACATCATGTCATCTCAGGTCACAGTTCACCAGATCATCCAGTCAGATTAATTCAAAGTTTTCTATCTAAGGAAAACCAGTTGATTGCATCGACTCATTGACTCTTCAGCAATCCCTCACACTAAGCATGCTTGTAGCGACAGTGGAGAGGAAAAACTCCCTTTGAACAGGAAGAAACCTCCAGCAGAACCAGGCTCGGTGTGAGCGGCCATCTGCTGAGGCCCACTGGGGTTCAAGGAGACAGAAGCAGACATAGAAAAAGAAGCATAGATACAAAAGGCAACTGTCAACCAGCTCCACAGGCGGCCCCGTCCAGGAAACACACAGCCAGGCAGACGAGCTCCGAGCCAGCTCCCATGTCAGAGGATGAAGAGAGCACATCCAGTTAGTCACAGTCAGAGAAACAGGACTACACTGGAAAACAGGCCAAGCTCCAACATCTAGAAACAAAGGTGTTGATTGCAGCAGTACAGCTTCTTTTGAAACACTCAGTGCATATAGATATTTATATAAAAAGAAAAAATGTCAATAAACAATAAGGATGGAGGCCTCAAGACCAGTCTTAGGCAGTGGGGGCTGGGCAATAGAGGGCGCTAGGGCACCGCCCCACCCACCCAATGATCTCGATTAAGACAAAAAAAAACAAAATAAAAATTAAATTCTTTTTGAAATATATTTCTTTACTACAGTTATGTTTCTTAAATGTGCAAGATAAATTTTTAATCTTTAATCAGGAATAAAGCTGTTTTGTTCCTCGTAGGATTGATGTATTTCCGCTCTGGGGTGCAAATATCTTTGGCCATAGACTCTAGCTAAAGGTTGTACATGCACAGTAGCTCCTTTTCAATGCAAAACGATAGGAGATCTTGGGGTTGCAGCTCTCTAGTGCCCTGAGCTGTCGTCACAGTAGCAGTGTGGCTGATTGACAGGTCACGGAAGTTGGAGACGACTGGAGAGAGAGAGAGAAACGGCACAAGACAAATTAAATTAAGTCAAGTCTCTTAAAGCAAATGTGTCTTAAAGCAATCTCCTATTAATTTCCTATTTACATATATGTATGTAGCTTTATATACATACATAAAAAAAAATAAATAAAAAAAAACTCTTCCTCACCCATCACGGGTGGTCTTCCCTCCTTTTGTTCCTGTACACTATTCAGGCCACTTGGTGATGGTGCTTCATGTAAGTTTTCCGTGCCAGGATCTTACACCCTGCAGTTATGTGCTGGATTGTCTCAGGGCTGAGTTTTATTCATTCAGTCTCAGAGTTCCAAGGCAACAATGTGTCTGGGTGAGGAGTGTTTGGATAAACTGTGTCCTCTATACAGTGTTGTGCCTGAACGCGTTCATTGAACGAAAGTTCATGAACTCGTTCATATTTTGGGCGAACGTGAACTGAACGTACGGCATTACTGCCTGATGAACGTTATTGTGAACTCGTTCATTCTGGTGTCTGTGAACGGCACGCTCTCTCAGTTCAGCTCCGTTCAATAGGTTGCCAGATTTCTATAGAGCCCTCCAGGCGAAACCCCGGCTTAATCACACCGTAAACAGGCCTTAATATGTAGCGGGGAAAACACCCAATCTGGCAACACCAGCTACCAGCGTCGTAGCCTACAGCCGCGTGCGTCATCAAAACAAAATGCAGCGTGGAAGCCACAGCAGCATGGAGGCTACCGTGGAGGCGACAAAGCAGCAGTATGATCACTTAAAACAGTTTTATGACCAGGTGGTCGGTGAGGATGATGGCAACAATCTTACATTTCTCTGCAAACTTTGCCCGCCGGCTTTCAGTAAAAAAATCCGCACTTAAACCTTCCTGGTATAATTTTCCAGGATTCCAGTATTCCTTTTTAGTATGTACTGAAATGGAATTTCAAATGGAAAAAATAATTAAAATAAATAAAAAGAAAACATTTGCACCTTAAAGACTACTTTCCTGTTTTTCTTTTAATCATTCCTCATAAAAAAGACCATTCAAGCAGCACATTTTTCCTGATGTTTTTGAGAATATACTGTAGGGGTGAAAGCTGCAGCTGCTACTAGTGTGAAGTGAATGGACAGCAACAAAGCGTTAAAGTAACAATGGGGAAATGCTGTCCCCTCAATGCTAATGTAAACCCTGGTTGGATAAGGATTCAAAACTGGATATGAAGATGAAATCTGACGCACAGTTTCAGAGTTACAACTGATAAAATAATTGCTGTCTGTGGTTCTACAGTAGGCTATGGTGTAATTGAGCAATATATGAAAAAAAAAAAGAATAGTTCATTTTTTGGAACTGTGAACTTAGTTCAAAATTTTGAATTATGAACTATGAACTGAACTAGTTCATTTTAAAATGTGTGAACTGAACTTTGAACTAGTTCACGTAGAAAGAGAACTTTCCCAACACTGCCTCTATATGTGTTATGAACAGTAGTGAAAAAACCTATTTCTTTTAAGCTTTAGAAGATAAATTAAGTCTTCTCTGCAGGGGTTAAACAAGTTGGCACTTGGTCTGTGCTTTCAGTGTTTATCTTAGCAAGCAGTCTCAACCTTTCAAATCTATCTATCCATCCATCCATTTTCTAACACGCTTATCCCCTGTAGGGTCGCGAGGGGTGCTGGTGCCAGCTGTCTACGGGTCCACCCTGGACAGGTCGCCAGACCATCGCAGACCTTACAAATCTAAACAGGACAATTTGTCTTAGTTTTATACAAAAAGTGCTTTTATATAGTTGTTATAACTTCTAATTATATAGAATGTTAGATTTATTTTTTGTAAAGGTACATTTTAAAGAAAAATAATTAGAAACTGATAAGGATTTTGTTAGGAATCCAGTTTGTGTGGGTTGTGTTTTTGTGTCTTTCTCTCCCTCCACCACCAGGTGGCACCCTGTTCTCGTTGGTCCTCTCACACACCTGCGACTGGTTGACTCATCACTGAGGACTATTTGAGCCATGCACTGTCACTACCTCGGCGCCAGAGTGTTTGCCATTTTTGGGTACTCTAGCCAAGCTGAGACTAACTTAGTCTTAATTTTCGCTGAGCCTAACCTTGTTTTTGTCTTTGCCTTTTTGGCAGGAAGCCTTCCTGCAAGCTGGATGTTTGGCCTTCTCCCCATGGAAGGATTGATTGAGTCTCACACTGAGCAGGGGATTAACCTCCACAAGTTCAGTTCAAGTCCTCCTGGATTCCCAAGTGACACTCCGCTCAATAGCTCCTCAGGGTCAAACCAAGTCTATACCTGTCCGCCTTCCAACGAGTCTCAACCTCTGGAAAAACTCACTCCGACTGGATTCTGGGAAGAAAGTTTTCTCCACTAACGTGAGTCCCGTTTTCTCTGTCTCTACAAGTCGTCGTTCAAAGTTCCCACGGATCCTGAACTAACCACTGATACTTCCCTCTTCCAGTTCCAGTTCAGCAGTTCACTGTGTTTCCTGAATCCTACCCCGCTAGTTTTTTTTTATTCAGTACTAGATCCCTACTGCTGATTATGTACAAAAATTGATTAGGAACAATAAGATCTAAACATGTATTTTTACACTGATGACTCCATCGTTCACAGTTTAGGATCAACTCATGTTCAATATTTGCAGAAAGCTTTTTATGTGGTCACACAGCACGCAGGTTTGCAGCTAAAATGGGTTCTTAGTGCTTAAAAAAACTAAACTAAACAAATGGCAATAAAAAGGCCATCAAGCACTCCCCACTGTGTTCACTCTACAGGGAAACTTTATAGAGGTGGTTCATGTTTATAAATACCTCTGCATCTTGCTTGCTGGCTCCTTCACTTTCTAACCCCAAATATACAACCTTATGAAGAAGCTCAAATTATACTATTTCTTCCCAATCTTGATTTTGTTTTCAGGTGAAGCATTTTGTGTTAATGGTGCAGTGAATGATTTATAACTAAGATCAGACTCACCCTCCTCTTGATAACATTTGAATAAACAGTTTTCTTTGGTTGGTGATTAATAACTCTGCTGGTAACCATAGTCTAATTTACTACATTGGTATAGACAACTGGATTTTTAACAGTTGGTCCAGGGGCCTTAATTGGATGTGAAACACCAAGAATTGTGGTGTGTAAGTGAATTACAGTTATAATCATGCAACTAATAACATTTGATTGGTTTAACCCTTGATTTTCAATGACCTTCTACTAATTAAATACAATTATAATTAACAGTTAATAATAAATTCACAATTTACTGGTAAAATATTACAGCAGGGCCTCATTGTTCATATTTTTCATTTTTTTCCTAATATGAAACCTTTAAGATATCTATGCATCTATAATCATATCAGCCAAGCTAACGTTAGCTTCACTGTTTATATTGAGGAAAGTGGGACTTAAAACAAACTGTAGTTTATAGATGAATTATAGAAAAAATGCTCAGTCCGCTGCCCTCCTGCATCTGGAATTTAATAACACACTGGAAAAAAAATCGAAATCTAGATGAGTCATTTTTTCTTAAATTAAGTGAATTTGTTCTTTAATAGCGGAGGTAAAAGTAACATTTTGCCAATGGAAAAAGACAATTTACACTTAAAATTAGAAAGCACAATTGCATTGTCTTATTTAAAGTTCATATTATCTAATTATCTTATTTTAAGAGAAAAAATACTCCAATATTCCATTGGCAAACTATCTCATTTACCTACTCAGATTAAGGGTAAATACACTTAATTTAAGGAATTTTTTGTACTTATTTCTAGATTGTTTTTCCAGTGCTGAGAGGTTTTCACTTTTTCTCTTTGCTATCAAATGAAAATTTATTGCCCTCTGTTTCATTTGCCCCCACAGACCTGGGAAAGGGAGCTTTCAATGATTCTGTAAAAAGTTTTATAATAATGACTAAAAACATTTGAAACATTGCAACGATTTACTTTAACTTTTGCTGCCTATTGGCTAGAACTCCCTTAAAAAGGAGATTCTTAATCTTAAGGGGACTGTCATGGTTCAATAATGATTAAATAAAATACAAAATAAAACAAAAGTTATCACTGAGATCTTTTTAATCCATCAAAATGCAACACCAACTGGTGAATTCAGTTAGTAGACAAGTGTATAGAGACTAATTTATTATGATTTTATATCATAAAGTAGTTTTAATTGAGCAAATATTCTTTTTTAGTTCATTTTGTGCCGCAAATGTTTTATGTTTTGTGAAAAAAGTCCTAAGTGATATGTCCAATTTTAAGATTCAGCCCTGATCTTGGTCTCTGAAGAACCAGCCTTGACTCCATCACTAATAAATGGTTTACTTTCAGGAGTTCTGGACTACAGAAAACAGATAAAGTGAAATAGAAGCTTAAAAAATACAAAAACAAACATAGAACAACAAGGATGCTTATGAAGGACTATGAGGGATAAGTGTTGATTTATTCTATTAAAAAATAACTTTGGCTAACTTTACAAAACGATTTCCCTGGGCTTACCAATTAATAAACGGTTCTAAAGTTTTTGTTGTGGCTGCATTTTTCTCTTTAAACAAAGACTCCGTTATATTTTGAAGATATTAATATGCTTTACCTGTGTTTTTACTCACAGGATGTGTAGCTCTTTGACAAGGATAGCAAGCTCTGCTTTCTTTACATTCAAGAGAAACAGCTGTTGAAAAAATGTTTGCCTTTTCATCATCTGACCCAGTAAAATGCAGGACATGTTACAGTTTGTGGGATACTGGGGCAGAAGTGAAAAAATGCCATAAAGAGTCCTGTAAAAATCGGGACATCTGGTCACTCTCTGAGGATCCAGTGTGACAGAAAAAAAAAAAAATACTCAGGCTTTTACAGTTGGACAGAGACGGTGTGACCCCGCCTTAAAGGAAAAGTCCGCTTTTTTTAAATTCAAAATAAAAACTTCTGAAAGTACTTTAAATATGAAATTATTCCATCCTGTTCAATAAATGATCAGTGTTTTTAATTCAGAGTAATTTTCATGTGAATGTGCTTCACTGGAGGCATCCATGTTTGTCAAAGAACACTACTGCCACCTACTGGTTTGTGACGTCACGGTGTGGTATCGGCTGTTGATCAAGTCCCAGTGCTGTATCTGGTGTTTGTCACAACGCGCTATTATCCAAGTCATCTTGAAAACATTCTTCTTCCAAATGTTGGCTACATATTACGGGTTTTTTCTCTGGCCAGAAGTTCGATGGCAAATCCTCCCTCTTCAAGTTGGCGATCCAATGACCAACCCGTCCGTGGAGGATCAGGAATCAGAAAGGTGGAATACCGTATTTTCACGACTATAAGGCGCACTTAAACGTCTTTTTTTCCCCTCAAAATGTGCGGTGCGCCTTTTGATGCGGTGCGCCCTATGTGTGTTGTAACTGCAACTTTTGAGACCACCTCATTGAGGAGATGATGAAAGAGTGGCTAAATGTAAGGAGACCAGGTGATTTTTTTCCACTCATCACCATCGCTGTTAATATGTAACTCCATGCGTGCCCATCTCACAGCTGATGTGAAAAACATGGTGAAACAAATTAACGCTGTGCTCGCTGTTCAACCGCTCGACATCGGTGTGAACCGGACCCAGCGGGTGCAGCAGAAGCAGCGAGTTTACATGCAAAGTCAATGGTTGACGCGCGTATAGGTGCAGCAAAAGGTCCCGCAGCGCGTTTTGAGCAGCAGGCGCAGCGCGTCGGGAGCGTTTAAGCATCTGACGCACCGCCAACGTGCTGCTGCTGCTCGAGATGGAGAATTTGAAGTTTTGCTGCTGGACGCGCCGCATCAACCAATCAGAGAAGCTGATCTGGGAGCTGACAGCGAGACAGGCACAGCGCTCTGATGACATTAACGCAAATGAAAAAGGCTGGATGGATGAGGAGATGATGAAAGCGTGGCTGAGGCAGGTGTATGTGAGGAGACCAGGTGCTTTTTTCCACGCATCACCATCGCTGCGTGCCCATCTCATAGCCGATTTGAAAAAAAAGGTGAATCAAATGAACGCTGTGCTCGCTGTTATCCCGGGGGGTCTGACAAAGGAACTTCAACCGCTCGACATCGGTGTGAAGCGGCCGTTCAAAGTAAGGCTGCGAGCGGCGTGGGAGCGATGGATGACAGACGGAGACCACAGTTTCAGGATAAGTGGAAGGCAGCGCCGGGCAAGTTACGCCACCGTTTGCGGATGGATTGTAGATGCTTGGACTAACATGTCTGCTGGCTCTGTTGTTCAAGCTTTCGCAAAAGCCGGCATTATTTCTGAGGAGCCGCGCTGCACAGAAAGTGACTCTGACAGCGAAGAAGGGGAAATTGGTATGTCTGATTTAGCGCAGCTGTTTAATTCAGAAACAGAGGATGAGGACTTTGATGGCTTTGATTAATACTTTGTAATAAATACATGAATAAAGCACAATCATACTCAGTTTTGCTCCCGCTCTATTTTTCTACCTGAAAACTTAATTCAACAGCAGCCTCTGGGCCGGGTCTCCTCCTCTTCACCGCGGTGGCTGGCAGGTGTTTTTTCATCTAAATAATCTAAATCTTGCAGCTATATTTGCTGTGATCAGTGGGAATAAAGTAGTTTTAATATGTTTTTAAGTGAGAAAGTCCACCTGAAAACTTAATAATTGCAGTCAGTTCATCCAGATTATCTATTTCTGTCGGAGGCGCTCAGACCCCCACATACCAGCGGTGCACCGACAGTAGAAATCCTTTCATCAGCAGCCTCTAGGCCGGGTAGCCTCCGGGTTCACCGCGGCTGCTGGCAGGTGTTTTTCATCTAAATAATTTAAACTGCAGGCACCAGGATACCGGTAATAAAAGCGAACATATTCTGTCGGCAGGTTTCAGGATTTTAAGTTAATTTAGGAGTGATCACAGCGCTGTGTCATCTGAGATGTGTCTGTCTCACGGCCAGCTGCCAGGTTTGATTAATACTTTGTAATGAATACATGAATAAAGCACAATCATACTCAGTTTTGCCCCCGCTGTATTTTTAAATACGCAGTAGAGGTATTTAAAGGTAGTAGAGGACATGTACCTGTATATAAAAAACGCGCCCTATAGTCCGGTGCGCCTTATGTGTGTGTTAAATACAGAAATGGGACACATAACTGAGACTGCGCCTTTTAGTACGGTGCGCCTTATGGTCGTGAAAATACGGTAACTCTTTTTTTTCCACTTTTCCCCGATGTATTCCAGCATCCAGCTGCCATGCACGTGGGCATTGTCAGTTTCACTATAGCTCTGGTGAATTTCAATGGTGAAGTCCTCTGGAAATCTTCAATAATTGTTGTTGATTGCAGATGTGTCTAGTAGTTCCCATTGATTTAGCTTGTAAAGCGGGGAGAATGGCGCTAGGCTTACCGCACCGTGACGTCACTGCTGGAAGATGGCAGGAGGGAGGGGTTACTATATTTGGGCAAAAATGGCCGCTCCCAGACTCAGTGATCACAACGAAAAATATTTGTTTAATTTTTCTTCCTGATCAACACTAAATTC